ATCTGGACCAAACCTGGCACACAGACCCAACATGGCCAACTGTGAATACAGGTGTGGTTTGGGGGTCAATGACCTCTGATCTGGGAGTAGTAGTTCACCCTTATCCAGAGAGCACTAAACCCATTCGACTATGGATCTGGACCAAACCTGGCAAACAGACCCAATATGGCCAACTTTGAATACTGGTGGAGTTTGAGGTGAGTGGCCTACGATTTTGGGAATTGCAGTTCACCGACATCCTTATGTATTTTCTAATGGGAGCTTTCATTAAAAAAAACCAACAGGAAATATTGCATTTTTTTGAAGAAATAGAGTTACAAATTACCAAACTGAAATTACCTAACACCCCAAAGCAAACACTGCCTTTTTCAAATAACGGGGGCCAACATAACATACTGGAGGAGTTTGGGGGGGGGGGGGGGGGGGGGGGGGGGGGGAATGACCCGCCTGTAGTTCACCCTGCATCCAGAGATATTACCAAACTTCCAAAAACAAACAATACCTTTCTCAAGTAACCCGGACATCACATATGTATGTGGGTATGCGGACATTTTCCTATTGACTCCCACTTCCACAGGCCACTGCGACAACCATAAATGACTGACCTGGATCAAACTTGGCACACAAAACCCTCATGACCCACTTTGTGTCGTGGTGTGGTTTGGGGAAGATGGACCACGGATGATGGGATTTGCAGTACTTTCAATCGCTTTGGCCCCCTCAGACCCCTGCGACCTCCATCTTTGATGGATCAGGACCAAACTTGGAACACAGACCTCCCCATGACCTACTCTACGTCCTGCTGCAGTTTGGGGGAAGATGGACCAAGGATGATGGGACTTGCAGTACTTTCACTCACTTCCTGAGAACACTGCGACTGCATCCAGAGGAACTGTGACCCTCACCAACAATAGACTAGCACCAAACATGGCACAAAGAAGCCCCATGACCAACTGGACGTACTGCAGTTCACCCTTTATTTCGGGAGTTGTAGTTCACCATTATACAGAAATCACTAAACCCAGCCAACATCTGATCTAGACCAAACTTGGCACATAGCTTCAACAAGGCAAACTGTACATACAGATGGGGTTTGGGGTGATTAATCCTGGCTTTGGGAGTTGTAGTTCACCCTTATCCAAACAGCACTGAACCCAGCTGACATCGGATCTGAACCAATCTTGGTACACAGACCCACCATGGCTAACTATTAATTCTGGTGGGGGTTGAGGGTGACTGACCTTTGCTCTGGGAGTTGTAGTTCACCCTTATCCAAAGAGCACCCCAAAGGTACTCCCTCAACTAGCAATGAAGGTGATAGCAAACGACATGAACATGTCACCCAAAGCCTACCAATGTCCTCCCCAAATACCATACTGATCACAACTCAAGGAATACTTTCATTCAGGGACAATTTCACCCTAGATTTGACATGTTTCTTCCACCACAGGCAGCCATCCCAGGGTTCCCTGTATGGAATGTGCATGACCCCACCCACTGCCTCTCCTTAACCCTTTCCTGCCCTGTCCTATGGCACACAGCAAACACAGAATAATTTATTGTGGTAAGGTTTGGGGGTGATTGCCCTGGGAATCTGGGAGTTGTAGTTCACCCTTATCCAGAGAGCACTCCCAGCCAACAACGGATCTGGACCACATTTGAGACACAGACACAACATGGGCAACTGAAAAATGGCAGGGTTTGGGAAGGACTGACCCACGATTTAGTTCAGCCGCACCAACTGAACCCAACCCACATTGGACCTAGACTAAACTTGGTGCACAGACAAACAAAGCAACTATTTAACCTCAGCAGGCTGAAAGCCAAAACAAGGGCACAACATCATCTGTTATAGAACTCCAATATGCTGATAACGTCGTCTGTGCAAGCCACTCTAAACACCTTTGCAGTAGCATTTGGCATTTCACTGAACATTGAGAAAACCAAAGTGGTCTTCCAGCAGGCACAAGCCAATCCCTCTGCAATGCCAGAAATACAGCTTAATGGTGCAAATGTTGACCATTTCCGCTACCTTGGCAGCCGCCTCTCCACAAAAGTCAATATTGACACTGAAATACAGCACTGCCTGAGCTCTGCGAGTGCAGCATTTTTCCAAATGAAGCAGAGAGTCTTTGAGGATTGGGGCATCCGCAGGGATACCAAGGTGCTTGTTTATAAAGCTATTGTCCTCCCAACCCTACTACATGCCTGCGAAACGTGGACTGTCTACAGACGCCACACTCAACTCCTGGAACGATTCCATCAGCGTTGCCTCTGAAAAATCCTGCAAATCTCTTTGGAAGAAAGGCGGACAAATGTCAGTGTGCTGGAAGAAGCAAACACCACTAGCATTGAAGCAATGCTTCTACTCCATAAACTCTGCTGGACTGGCCATGTTGTCCGAATGCCCGATCACTGTCTCCCAAAGGAGTTACTCTACTCTCAACTCAAGAATGGAAGACGGAATGTTGGGGGACAGGAAAAGAGATTTAAAGATGGGCTCAGTGCCAACCTTAAAAAGTGTGACATTACACAGAGAACATGGAAGCCCTGGCCCTTCAGTGCTCTCTACCTGGAGCTCAGCTGTGACCAGCAGTACTGTGGAATTTGAAGAGGCACGAATGGAGGGCGAAAGGGAGAAACGTGCCAAGAGGAAGGTGCATCAAGTAAACCCCGACTGGGACCACCTTCCACCTGAAAACCAATGTCCTCACTGCGGGAGAACATGTGGGTCAAGAATAGGGCTCCAGTCACCTACATACCCACTGCCAGGACACCGCACTTGGAAGACAATCTTACTCATACGACGAGGGATCACCTATAAGTAAGTATGCATGCATGCACGCATGTATCTATGTATATAGTAGCTTTCTGAATGGCTCCCACTTGCACAGGCCACTGCAACCCTCAGAAATGACGGACCTGGACCAAACTTGGCACACATAACCCCCATGACCCACTTTACCTCCTGTTGCGGATTGCAGGAGGAAGAACCACAAATGATGGGATCTGCAGTACCTTCACACAATCAGGCACCCAAAGACCACTGCAACCCCCATAAATGAGGGACCTGGACCAAACTTGGCACACAGATGCCCCATGACTCACCTCACATCCTGGTGAAGTTTGGGGGCGAATGGATCACAGATGATGGGATATGCAGTACTTTCAATCTCTTCAGCTCCCATAGACCACTGCGACTCACACTAATGACAGATCAGGACCAAACTTGGCACAAAACCTCCAATGACCCACTTTAGGTCCTGGTGCAGTTTGAGGGTGGATGGGCCATGGATGGTGGGATTTGCAGTACTTTCAATTGATTCGGCTCCCACACACCACTGTGACCCCCACCAATGATGGATTGGCACACAGAGCCCCCATGGCCCACTTTACATCCTGGTACAGTTTGGAGGAGGATGCACCATAGATGATGGGATTTGAAGTCCCTTCACTCACTTCAATACCACTGGGACCCCCTTGAGGGATGGACCTGGACCAAACCTGGCACACATGCCCCCTATGAAACACTTTACATTATGGTGAGGTTTGGGGAGAGGGTGGACCACAGATTATGGGATTTGCAGTACCTTCACCTCATCCAACTCCCACAGACCACCTCTACCCCCATGATTGTGGGACCTGACCCAAACTTGGCACACAGACGCCCCATGACGCACCTCACATCCTGGTGAAGTTTGGAAGAGGATGGACCATGGAGGATGGCCTATGCAGTACTTTCAATCACCAGCTCCCACAGACGACTGCAACTCACAATAACGACAGATCAAGACCATACTTGGCACACAACCCCCATCCCATGACCCATTTCATGTTCTGGTGCGGTTTGGGGGAGGACAGACCACGGATGCTGGGATTTGCAGTACCTTCACACGATTTGGCTCCCACAGACCACTGCAATCCCCATGAACGATGGACCTGGACCGTATTTGGCACACAGACACCCCATTCTCCACTTCACATCCTAGTGCTGATAGAGGTATTATGGACCACAGATGATGAGATTTGCAGTACCTTTACCCGATTCATCTCCAACTTCAACAGCCCACTGAGACCCATACAAATGATGGACCTGGATAAAATTTGGCACACAGAATCCCCATGAACAACAGAACAGAAGTTTGGGGGACACTGACATCCAGAGAAACTGCGACCCTCACCGCCAATGGACCAGCACCAAGAAGACCTATTACCAACTGAACATACTACAGGTGTTTGTGGGCATTTACCTTGATTTTGGGAGTTGTAGTTCACTCTTATCCAGAGAGCGCTGATCTAAACCAAGCGTGGCACACAATCCCAACATGGGCAACTGTGCATACAGGTGGAGTTTGGGGGTAATTGACCTTGGCTATGGGAGTTGCAGTTCACCCTTATCCAGAGAGCACTGAAGCCAGCTGACTTCGGATTTGGACCAAATTTGGCACACACTCAACATGGCCAACAGAACATACAGGCCTGCTTTTTATTGGGGGGGGGGGGTGGACCTAAGATCTGGGAGCTGTAGTTCACCCTTATCCAGAGAGCACTGAACCCAGTCAACATTGCATCTGGACCAGACACAGATCCAACATAGCCAACTTTGGATAGAGGTGGGGTTTGGGGAGGATTGACACAGGATTTTGGGAATTGTAGTTCACCCAAATCCTTATGCATTTTCCAATGGGAGCATTCATAAAAAGCAAAAGGAAAGACTGGCATTTTTCTATTAAATAGCGTCACACATTATCAAACTGATAGTAGCACACTTGGCAAAACAAACAATGCCTTTCTCAAATAACCCGGGCACCTCCCGTTTCCCAAGCTAGTAATATATAATACTAAAATTGTGCTATGCTCATAATATATTATATATAATAATAATGTTAATAATAATACAATATTATTAATAATAATACAATATAATAATATAAAATACTAAGATTGTACTATTCTCATAATATATTATTTAGACATATAACACTAATAATAATTTTCACCTCAATGGCTGCTTCTCCTCGTTCCCGCCGCCGCCATGTTTGCTTTCCCTCCGTGACGTCACAGAGAGGGCGAGCCGAAGCTTCAAAACCTTCAAGTGCGCAGGCGCAAATTAAACGGCGGGCGGTTTGAGACGCCTCAGTCCGCAGGCGCGGGCAATTCACAATGCCTCCACGCGCAGGCGCGACTTCAAATTCTCAACTGCGCAGGCGTCACCGCTGGAACATGTTATAAAGTTTCAGCGCGCAGGTGCAGCTCCTACCGGACTGAAGCGCATGCGCAGTAGCCCTTGCTAGGCAAACCCTTGCTAGGCAAAATAAAGGGCCATTATTACATCATTTCATATCTATTTATATATATAATTTAATACATATATATAATTAAGTGTCATAATGTATATTCAAATTATATATATTAAATTGTGTAATATATATTTAATATATATATATATATCATATATATGTAATATATAGGATGTATGACTTTCTATAGTACTTAATTATTTAATATATATTTTATTAAAATATATTGTATGCCTTTCTATAGTATATAATATATGTAATATAAAAATTAATATATAATTATATATATATTGTATGTTTCTATAGTACTTAATTATGTAATATATATAAATACATTAAGTTATATATTAAAACTGACAGGAATATATCTTTAGTTATCTATATCTATCTCTTCTATATCTATATCTATCTATGTATATAATAAAAGTCAAAGTTTGTATGTGGGTATGTTTGTGGCAGCGTTCTGATTGGTTGCCACTGTGGTACTATTTGCATAAGGTCTCCAATTGGCCAGCCACAACACCCCAAGACTCCAAAGTGGCTGAGAAGGGAAAGGAAATTTGCATATGGTTTCTGATTGGCAGGACCTCTGCAGGACTGAAGACCCACAGGGCGCAGGTTCGAATCCGGGGAGAACGCGGATGAGCTCCCTCTGTCAGTTCCAGCTCCTCATGCGGAGACATGAGGGAAGCCTCCCACAAGGATGGTAAAAGATCAAAACATCCTGGCATCCCCTGGGCAACGTCGTTGCAGACGGCCAATTCTCTCACACCAGAAACAACTTGCAGTTTCTCAAGTCGCTCCTGACACGACCAAAAAAAATAATAATAATTCTAACATTCTCAAGTGGATGAGAAGAGAAAGGAAAGGGCCTGAGGGATTTGCAGTATCTTCACTCACTCTACATCCTACTGCAGTTTGGAGGAGGATGGACCATGGATGATGGGACTTGCAGTACCATCACTCACTTTCTGAGACCGCTGTGACCTTTATCCAATCACTGATCTAGACCAAACTTGGCACATAGACCTCTCATGATCCACTTTACGCCCTGGTGTGGTTTGGCCGGGGATGGACCATGGATGATGGGACTTGCAGTACCTTCGCTCAGTTCCTGAGACAACTACAACCCTCATCCAATTACCAATAAAGACCAAACTTGGCACACTGAGTCTCCATGATGCATTCTACATTCTGCTGCGGTTTGGAGGAGGATGCACCATGGATGATGGGACTTGCAATACCTGTACTCCCTTCCTGAGATCATTGCAACTGCCAACAATGATGGATCAGGATCACAATTCACACAGAGTGCCCGCATGACCCACTCTACATCCTGGTGCATCCTGGAAGAATTTGGAGATGGATGATGGGACTTGCAGTAACTTCACTCACTTCCTGAGACCACTGAGACCCTCGCCAATGACTGATCAAGACCAAACTTGGCACACAGAGCCCCCATGACCCACTCTACATCCTGGTGCACTTTCGAGGAGGACAGACCATGGATGATGGGACTTCAAGTACCTCCACTCCCTTCCCAAGACTGCTGCAACCCTCATCTAATGACCAAGCAAGACCAAACTTGGTCCACTCTACATCCCGGTGCTGTTTGAAGGAGGGCGGATGATGGATGATGGGACTTGCAGTGCCTTCACTCACTTCCTGAAACCACAGCGACACTCATCCAAATACCAATAAAGACCTAACTTGGCACAAAGAGCCCCCATGGCCAACTCAATATTCTGGTGAGGTTTGGGGGAGAACAGACTATGGATGATGGGACTTCAAGTACCTCCACTCACTTCCCAAGACTTCTGCAACACTCATCTAATGACCCCCCCCCCCCCCCTATAAAAGATAGTAACATAGTTTTGCTAAGGACAAGAACATCAGACTGGATAATAAGGGTTAAGCCTTGGTCAATTTGCCAAGACACTAACAACAACAAAGACCCTTCCCATGTTAGATAGTGTGTATCATTTTGAAGTTGAACATGCCCCCCCCCCCACCCATAAAATATAGTAACTTATAGTTTTGCTAAGGACAAGGACACCAGACTGGACAATAAGGGTTAAGCCTTGGTCAATTTGCCAAGACGCTAACAACAACAAGGACCTTTGCCATGGTAGATAGTGTGTATCATTTAATCAAGGTTTTTATGCCCTATTTTCATATATTTATAGCAGAAGGTAACAGATTTATTACTGAGAAACCACCTCCCTTTACACTTATGTACTCTCTTGAACTTCTATGGGACTTTTTTCTCTTCTGAAGGACTTTTTTGCCCCACATCAAGGACTCTCTTTCCCATTATGGACATATTTTCTTTCCAGATAAATATTATGAACTATGAACATATATTGAGCCATGATCAAGGCTCTTATCAATTTCTCTATGGGACTCTGGTGGGAGGGATAAGTGGGTATGTTTTCTATATCATGATTTCAATATTTTTATATTTCTCTCTGTGTATCTGACCTTTTTCTGACCCTTTTACCCAATTCCCTTTTATTGAAAAACGTATAAAAATATAAGCAGCCACCCTCCGTGACCCTGGAAAGAAGGAAATCCTCAGTTGAAAAGACCCTTATCAAAATACACTTTTTGCATGGACAATAACAATGGATCGTGACCTTTGGGGCTCGGAGTTGGTCCCCTCAGGAGAGGCGGTCGCTTGGCATTGATGATCCTATCTCAATAGGACAAAAGGGGCCTTCGGAAAGCCACCCTTTGACCTGATTTGTTACTTATTTAAATCTTCCTCCACCAAAACTTCAGCCAGATTTCCTCATTGTTCCCATATCTCGGCACCCAGAAAATCCGGATCTGGCAGGCTTGCCAGACATCAACGTTTATTGCTTTCAATCATAGACAATAGGATTGGCCGGCTTGCAGGGCCTTGGGACTCGCTGACCGCTTGGACATTTCCTATCTCCATAATCTTCTCAAGAATCCATTTTTCCCTCTCGTCCCGCCTCCCTCTCTCCTGATTTGTCAGGGACCTGAGGTGGCTGAAGCTCAGCCATTGGCACAAGCGCCCGGGAGGCGGCCAAGCCTCCTCCCAGCTGTAGCGCGCCAGCCAATCATCGTCGAGCCAGCAGAGGGGTGGGGAGCGGGAAATTCAAATCTGACAGCTCTGTTTCTGTATAAAAAAGACTTTTATTTGTGAACATGTTATGCTCAGCTTAGCAAAATATTGCTGCTTTGCATCCTTTCCAGCTGGATCAAAATAAAATCAACTCAATGGCGCTTCCTTCAGCTTTGGTGAGATTCTTTTGGGAACTTAGGGAAATCTTTTAAATGGTGTTTTCTTTTTGCTCACCATTGTAGCGAGCCCTCTTTGGTGGGTCTGCAGGGTCTCTCCTTCAGGGCGAGACCCTTTTAAATTCCTCCTCGATTTCAATTTAATCAAGTTTTCTATGCCCTATTTTCATATATTTATAGCAGAAGGTAACAGATTTATTACTGAAAACCATGCCACAAAAGTGTTTGACTTTTTTCCATCTGAGACACACCTGGGCCAGAGAGTTAACAACTCTCCAAATGGTTCCCTATCTCACAAACAAAAGGGGCTAACTTTTGAGCTGAGAAACATTTACATATCTAGGCCAAAGGTTAGCCAGGAGAAACATTATGCTCTATGTTTCCCTTGCCATTAATTTCCTTTTTTATGAACTTTTAGGTATCAGGGACACCTCTTCCCACTTCCCTGCATGAACCCCATGTACTCCTTGCATCGCCCCTTAGTCCCAGGGTGTACCCCAACTGGGACCTTGCCTGCCTGGGCTAAATGGAAAAACTCTGGGATCCCCATCTATTCCCTCATGGAAATGCGAAGGGCTCAAAGCCCCTTCAAATGGCCATGAGACAAATGTGTTTGTGGGTTGTTGTAGGTTTTCCGGGCTATATGGCCATGTTCTAGAGACATTTTCTCCTGATGTTTCGCCTGCATCTATGGCAAGCATCCTCAGAGGTAGTGAGGTCTGTTGGAAGTAGGAAAATGGGTTTATATATCTGTGGAATGACTTTTGTCTGCTGGAGCTAGGTGTGAATGTTTCAACTGAAACATCAAGCCAACCCCGTCAAGCCAACCCCGACCGAGACCGCCTTCCACCTGGAAACCAATGCCCTCAATGCGGAAGAAGATGCAGAGCAAGAATAGGGCTCCACAGCCACATACAGACCCACAAGAATGTTGGAAGACAATCATCCTCGGAAAACGAGGGATCGCCTAAGCAAGTAAGTAAGTAAGTAAGTAAGTAAGTTTCAACTGACCACCTTGATTAGCATTTAATGGCTTGGAAGTGCCTGGGGGAATCTTTCTTTGAAAGGTGATTTGATGTGCCTGATTGTTTACTCTCTGTTGTTTTGCTGTTGTAATTTTTTAGTTTTTTAAATACTGGTAGCCAGATTTTGTTCATTTTCATGGTTTCTTCCTTTCTGTTGAAATTGTCCACATGCTTGTGGATTTCAATGGCTTCTCTGTGTAGTCTGACATGGTGGTTGTTGTTTTTGTTTTGTTTTGTTTTGTTTTTGTCGTGTCAGGAGCAACCGCTCCTGTTGTGAGAGAATTGGTTGTGAGAGTGGTCCAACATTTCTGTGTTCTCAAACAATATGCTGTGTTCAGGCTGGTTCATCAGGTGCTCTGCTATGGCTGACTTCTCTGGTTGGAGTAGTCTGCAGTGCCTTTCATGTTCCTTGATTCGTGTTTGGGCGCTGCCTTTGGTGGTCCCTATGTAGACTTGTCCACAGCTGCATGGAATGTGTTTGTCTTAACTTTGGAGGG